AACTTCCCTCCAATCAGGCAGGGGCTGGGAAGAGGCCAGTGAGCTGTGCCCAGGGGTTGGGAGACAGGAGATACTCCCTGCTGTTTTTCTAAACCTAAAGTTTCTTCTTCCCTTCATCTCCACCTCTCACTAGATAGATCTGCCAATCTGCTTCCTTCCCAAAAGGTAGGTAGTTATTCTCATTTTACAGAAGAAAAAAAAAAAAAGAGGCTCCAGAAAGTTCCATGCCTCAAATCATTCAATGAGTTCCATGCCTCGAATCATCCAATATGGGATCATTCGATTTCAAATGTGCACGATGCCCAGAAAGCTCTATTGGAGAGGGAGGTAAAAAGTACCATCGATAATGACTTAAGAAATGATAATATCCAACGTTTACTAAATACTAGGCACTCTCATGTGACAGATGCGGAATCTACAGTGCAGAAAAGTGAAGTGATTTATCCAGTCTCACAGGAAGCACATGGTTCAACCTTACTTGAAGCCGCTTCAGCTCTAGGAGATCCGAGGCAGAGCTGTCTCCTGGGTCAGTGCCTGTTTCCAGCACACTCAGCGCTACTCGGTATTTTGTGAGGCTTGTCACCTAGTTCTCACTAGCAACCCCGTGGACTGGGCATTAGCATGTCCATTTTCTGAAAGGCGAAACCAAGACCTAGCAAGGTGACGGTGCAAAACGGTGAGAAATAGGGCCTGGATCTGAATATAGAACTACAGAAGGCCGACCCACAGCTCCTCCCCTCACACCTGCTGCCTCCAGAACTAGATGTCCCCAAGAACTCGCCATCCCCTCTCCAGGCTGTGGGACCTGCAAGGAGATGCAGCTTCTTTTAGCACTACGTCCCCCGCCCCCATCCTTGTGGTGGTCTTCTTCCAGGGGCACGATGTTGAATGAGGTTTTACCACAGCTGAAGTCAGGCCAGCCTCTCCCCTTTCTGCGCCTGGACGACTTCATCGGTGGAATGGAGAGAAAGCTCAGGCTTTAGGGGGCCTTCAGTAATCTGCATCGTGCTTTTGGCAAAGGCTCCTTCTCTCCAGTCCCGGCTCAAACCCGGGTTCAGTCCCGACTCCGGACCTTAGGGGGCGGGAACAGCTTGGACTTGCAGAGCTTCGCAAGCGAGACGTTTGTACCCCCAAAACCTCCAGCTGTGACCCTGAATACCTGTCTACCCGAGTTCCTGGGCTGTGTAATTCGGAAAGTGAGCTCTCTAGACACCAGGGGGCCGAACCGTCCCCATTTCCACTCCGCAAACACCAGTCAGACAAATGAGCTCAGAGAGGAGCAGCCTTCTGCCCGAAGTCACACAGCGAACGTCTTGGGGGGTGGGTGAGCGGTGTTGTGGAATTCCTGGCGGATGTTGGCGCCCGCGGGTCTGCCCGCTTCTGATACCCGGGCTCAGTAGAATAGGCCGCTAACGAGCGCCCATTAGGAGGAATTGTCACTCCTCTGGGAGCGAGGTTGTCCCATTAGGGCGAATTGTCATTCCTCCTGGAGCGAGGTTGTCCCGGCTCCGCGCAGGCTGAGTGCTGGGGCCGAGAGCAATTAACGCGGCTCCGGCGCGGGCAGCCGCCTCTGCCCGGGGCAGCGGGGGCGGGGCAGGGCGGGGGCGGGGCGCCCGGCGCGGCTGGAGCCGGTCACCCGGCGCAGCCCCTTCCCCCGGAGCCCGCCTTTCATCTCCCCGCGCCTGGCGCCTGCCCGAAGCCCAGGCCCGTCTACAGCCCCCTTCGCTGCCCCTCCCCCACCCCCTTCTAGCCGCTGGGATCCAGCGTTCGGCCCCTGGGGTTACAAACGCTGCGGTCTGCGCACAGCGCTCCACAGTTTGCAAGGAGTGTTCTCTCCCTGGGACTCGCGGCGCGCGTACGCGGTTGCTTCAAGAAGGGGCCTGGCCGGTGTAACACGCCCCGGGGAGCGCGGGAAGGTGCAGGGCTGAGGATCTGCGCTCAGAGGCCTCAGCCGCGCGGGGGAATTCCCGGGTCTCCCACTTCTACCTGCGCCACGGTGGGCAGAGCATTAGCGCTTCCCAGCCTTAGGCTTTCATCTGTGAAATGGGGAAAATAATCTGCTAGCAGCGGTGTGTTGGAAGAAACAAATAAGATCTTGGATAGGTCCAGGCACTAAAGCATCCTTCAGAGTTGACGCTTCCTGGTGACTGAGTTCCAGTTGGAACCCCCTCTTTTTTGCTAGCAAGTATTGCAGCTACGCATACATCCCTGGGAACTAACATTTACTGAGTGCCTCCTACGTGACAAAGCCAGTCCTCCGCTAGATCACTGTCCCCAAACCAGGACACTTCTCACACCGAGCCAAATTCTCAGCCCCGGAAATTTTACAAAGAACCTACCGTAAGGTCTGGGATGCACCTTATCTTTCAATACTTGGCAGGGAGAAAGCATTCGATACATTGTGATTGCTTTTGATATACAATAATGTTTTTAAACAGGACCTCCTATGCCTTCTAGTTACTTTAGGTAGCCTATTGAATTTAATCACCACCAGAGTCATCCCAGGTAAGGATTATTATCTCTTATTTTGGAGATTAAAAAAAAAATGCTGGCTGGAGGAAGCAATTTGGAGCGCCCAAGGTCACTCCGCCAGGAAAAGGTGAATAAAACGTTCTGAAAACGCAGCCAAAGTTGGATTAAATGCAGACTTGGGGCTTTCCATGAAGGGCTAGCGTTGTGTTGCGATTCCAGCCTTTTCCCAGCAGAAGTGAGCCCCTTTCCCGATTTGTCTCCACCTCAGTAAAGAGCTGGGGAGGGAACTGGCAAAGACCCCAGGAACAGGCTGGTTCCTCTCTCAGCATCTTTCCTGTTCATGGTCAGAGCTTGGCACTCTGGGTTTGAACACCAGTAATTTTTTTTAATCTCTGTTTTCCTATTCCTGGCTTTATAATTTATTTATCTCTGCCTGGACTTCAGTATTCCGGAGTAGTCAAGGGGACCGGGCTTTTCCTTTCCCTTCATTAAAACAAAGGAGGTCCAGTGGTATTGATTTTTGTTTCGAATTTCTCAGGAATGAGCCTGTGTGCCCTATGGCTGACAGATATTAACAAGGAGTTTCAGGAATAATTATAAAACATTGGCTGCGTTCAGCCTAACTGAAAGTTGAACCCTTTTGTACACTTTGGCAGCTGAGGGCTAAACGAATTTCAGATTTGCTTCCAAAATATATAGCCTGCACCTTGCCCTGTACATCTAGAAGGTACAGAAGTTAATCTGGATTTACCTGTACTGTATTTGAGATGCATATCAAACCAACTACCACCAGGTATGACTCAAGGGGAAAACGCATACATTTCCAGATAGTTTTCACAGTTTTTTTTTTTTTAATTTTCTGAGCCTCCAGTTGGTTAAGAAGAAATGTACATATTCTTTATAGTGGGAGAGAAACTCAGAAGTTTTAGAAGACTGTGTTTAGGACTTACTCTTTTACTTTTTCAGGACCATCTTTAATCAAACTGAATTAACTGGCCTGTGCAGGCTGTTTTTATCCTCTAAGATTCAGATAATATTTTTTTTCCAGCTCTTTCAGGGCCAGCACAGTTTCACTTCAGGGAAAGGTTTGGGGTGAAGGAAACAGTGCCTCAGAGAAGTACATTGGGAAGAGTTTAAGGGTCCCTAGGTCTAGGGGTCAAGTTTCTAATACTCCTGAACTGGGAGGTAGCCTCCAAGCCTTGGTCATTTAAATAATTAAAAACAATGTCTCTTCCTTCCAATGCTCTAGGGAATGTTTAGCAAGCTTCTGCTGTAGGCGAGGTCCTGAGTTGGGTGACTTCCTATTTACCTCGTCAGTCGCAGGATAATCGTTCAGATATAGGAAAAGACAGCCGCAGCCTGAAAAGAGTCGTTTGAAGCTATCCTTCTAGGCCAGGCATTTTGAGGACCAGCCGAGAGATCCGAGGCCTCTAATCCTCGAAGTTCGCTCTCCCCTTCCCCAGGCTGAGACAGTCATCACGGAGGCTTTGGAAAGGAATTATCGAGGGTATAATTTGGGGTGGGGTGGAGACATCTATGTTTTTATTTAAAAAACCAGGTGCCATGAATAAAAGCGTGCTTCTTAAAATGGTATGTAGGCCTGGGGATTGCAAACTTGGAAGCCGATATTTCTGAGACTTGCAAACGGGAGGGAGGCACTAGATATTGGCGATTTTTCCTCCCCCCCACCCCCATTTACCCTCCGAGGCAAACACCGGCATTCAAACACGCAGGACAAACACAGGCTCAAACAAACTCACGAATGGACATTTGCACTGTCTTGAGAAAAAGGTCGGATCCGGATCTCGCCCAGAAAGGAGATTCAGGAGACAAGCACAGAGATTTCAACTTTCTAAAAGTGCGCTGGATTTGTTTTCTAGTGAGAGAGATGGGGACAACTTATTTAAATTTCCACTCTGAACCCTTTGGGAGAGAGGCACTCCTGACTACTTCTCGGGCTCCTTCAGGCCTCTCTTTTCCAGGGGAATGCGCTATAATAATAACAGCGAACGCTTTTGAGCGCTGGCTGGTGGCGAGATACTCTTCTAAGTGCATACATTTCTTTTCACAGGTATATGGGCCTATGAATTTCAGCACCGGCTCTCTGGAATTGCAAAGTAAGCCACTTTTGACGCATAGTAGGGGCTTCGTAAGTGTTTCTGCAATGCCGTTTGCGGATCTTTGACGTATGCTGGCGGTAGAGGGAGAGTGGGATGGGCGCAGGGTCCCTTTTAAAGAAGGGTCAGAAGAGAGAAGAAATGGGACTCGGCGAACTTCCTCTTTAAATAATCGCTCTTAATTAGGTCTCGGGCTTTTCAGTTTCGGCGTGATTATAACCCTTCAGGGATCGCCTAATAACAACTCTGCTGACTGCTCCTGTAATTAACTCCTAATTTATTTCAAACAGGAAAAAAAAAAAAAAAAAGAAGGGGGGGCCCAGCCCCTTCGGGAAGAGCCAATCAGGGGCGAGCGTCTCTGGCGTCAGCGCCAGGCCCGGCGCGGATTGGCAGCGCGCGTCTCCCACTTCCCCTCGGAGGAAAGGCTCGGCTCCCAGCGCGCCCCTCCCGTCTCCCCAGCGAAAAAGTTTGAGTCGCCGCTGCCGGGTTGCCAGCAGAGTCGCACGTCGGGAGCTACGTAGGGCAGAGAAGTCATGGCTTCTCCGTCCAAAGGCAGTGACCTGTTTTCGCCCGACGAGGAGGGCCCAGCGGTGGTGGCCGGGCCAGGCCCGGGGCCTGGGGGCGCCGAGGGGGCCGCGGAGGAGCGCCGCGTCAAGGTCTCCAGCCTGCCCTTCAGCGTGGAGGCGCTCATGTCCGACAAGAAGCCGCCCAAGGAGGCGTCCCCGCTGCCGGCCGAAAGCGCCTCGGCCGGGGCCACCCTGCGGCCACTGCTGCTGCCAGGACACGGCGCTCGGGAAGCGCACAGCCCCGGGCCGCTGGTGAAGCCCTTCGAGACCGCCTCGGTCAAGTCGGAAAACTCAGAAGATGGAGCGGCGTGGATGCAGGAACCCGGCCGATATTCGCCGCCGCCAAGTGAGTGCGCGCTGGGGCCGGGGCAGGAGTAGGAGGTGGTTCGGGGTACTGGAGGGAGCGGGGGGCGGGTGTTCCAGGCTGGGGGTACAGAGACCCTTCTGCGTGCGCTGCACTCCCGGGAAAGCAAGCTCAGGGCCTCTGGACCCCTTGGTGCCCGGGGCGTTCGGCGCGCCGTCCGCATCCAAGACACACTCTAGGTAATAACCGCGATGTGTGTGTCTGAGACTCCCTCCACATACAGATTGTTCAACTCAAGAGCGAACCCCAGCTAGGTTTACGGGGTGGCTTGGTGGTGCGTTTCTATAGCCCTCGGCCCTGCGCTCTGGCCACTTGGCTTGTTTTTGTTTCACTATTTCCCGGGGTCTCTTCCTGGGGAGCGAGGGAGATGGATCCATGTTCAATGAGCACTTGGATGTGCCAGGAACAAGACAGGTTCAAAACTCAACCCTGAGAGTTGTGCCCCCATTTAAAAGATGAGCTAACTGGGCTTAGCCAGACATTGAGTAGAAACCATTTTCTTTCGTGAGTCCCGCGGGTGTCAAAAACCGGATCCCACGAAGGGATGGTGGCACCAGAGTCTGGTGCGGAGAGGAAATGTCTCCCTGTGGTCTCCGCAGCCAGCACCCCGCCGGCAAGGTTCTGAGCTTCGCCGGGAGCGGGATGGGGCCAGAAGCGCACGGGCTCTTCTTGGCTCACAGTAATAATTAACCGCATTCCAGCGGGGCTTGAGAGTTAATAAAGTGATGCCCATTAGCTCACCAGATCCCGATACGCTCTAGGACCCCCAGGTGTAGGCACTGGACTTGTGACCAGACGTGGACGCTGAGGCTTTTAAAGAAGACGGCCTTTGCTTGTCCCAGGTTACCAACAACCGCTGATTGGCCAGGGGGACCTGGTGTCCACGCCCTGCTCCTGTGTTTCATGTGCCCGGACCACGTTTGCTTCTTCTCCCCAGACAGACTAGGTAGAACTCCGCACCTGCACCCCACTTCTGCCAGTGAGGCTGCGGAGATTTCTCCTCCGCTTCGGCATCCATTTTTGGTCCCTGGGTCCTTTGACAATTTGGAGACGTCATCCTTTACAGCCTCTTTTACTTTTATCTCTTGGCCTTTATGGTTTTTCTACCCCCTAATTTCCCTCCACCCCATCCCTTACCTTTAGGAAAGGTGAGGGTGGGGGCTGTGGAGGGACTTTCTCCAAAGCTGAGAGATCCTTTCACTATTTACATCATTCAGCCCCCCAGACTAGACGCACTGTATTTTGTTAACAAAACAAGGCCATATACCCAGGCGTCAGTGGCTGTCCCCTCAGGCAGTCTCTCTCCACCCTGTTAGAAACTGAAAGATTCAAAGGGCGAGGAGATTAAGGGACTCAAAGAATTTAAACTCAAGTTTGGATAGTGCTTTATAGCATTTTTCACCGTATTATCTTATCTCCTCTGTAGGGCAGCAGCCAGCCTCTTAACAGATGAGGACATTTCAGCGAAGTTCAGAGAGGAATCAGCAGTTTGGGCTTGACCAAAAAAAAAAAAAAAGCTTGGGACCATTTAATGATCACCTACCAGGTGGCAGACAGGGCTCTGGGCACTCTTAAAATTTTAGTACTGTGAACCACATTGAGGGATTAGTGTTACTTACCCACTTTATTGACAGTGAAGTAGAGGCTCAGAAAATTAAAAGACTTAATTTGTTTAACAAATATTGAGTACACTGAGTACATAGCCTACGGCTATGCCTAGCCAATGATACAGGCCTTCAATGGAGTAGTCCAGAGGTCAGGAATCCTGCCGTCCTTTAGGCCTGTGGGTCTGGGAAGGCAATGACCCACTACCCCTGTAAACATCCCTGCCCTGTACTCAAGCTTCCCCGCTCTTGGTAAGGCAACCTTGGGCCCTGGCTGTGACCTTTCCATGAAAAGAACCAGAAATTCTGAGAAAGGAGTTTATAATCTGCACATTCTGCACATGTATCCCAGAACTTAAAGTAAAAAAACACCATAAAGACTTGTTGGTGCTTTGGGCCTGGAGGTGGCAGCGGTAACCCTGTGGTCGGAGCAGTGGGTCCTGAGAATGCCAGGCGACAGAGCCTGGGGCGAGAGGGAGCTACCCGCCCGGGCCTGATTTTGTTATTTGGAGGAAGTAGGATAAACGCTGTTTTGCCTTATATAATCGCATCCTTCCTCTGGCTGGTTTAAAATTAGGTGGGGGTGGAGGGATGGGGAGTGTTGCATTGGGAGGAAGCCTCATAGCTTCATGGTTTTGATACACATGTGCAATCCCGGTCACCTGGATTTCATAATTCAAATGTGCAAAGGAGCAGCTGGAATTACCCTGCCCAGGCGCGTAGTGCTTCAAAACCCCACGTAGAGCCCAGGAGCAAGAGTATATACACACTAGGAACTTGGTATCTGAGCTGAGACACCTGGGTCCTCCTGAGAGCCAGGCCTAGTTTGGAAAGGGCGAGAATTTTGCAGGTCTCTTGAGAGTCTCTGACAGTGTTGTTAATTTGTGAATTAAGAAACTGGCTCCCCAGCTCTCTGGTAACTTAGGGATTAGCAAATGCAAAAGTATAGACTTTTATGGTAGTTTCTTATCCTTCCCTTTCCCAGATTTCTGTTCTTTGGTTGGTTACAAAGCCTCTTATCTCTTTGATTCAGTAAAGTGATGGGTAATAATGTGACACTAGAACAAATTAATCTCTTTTTGGAAATGGAAGCTGGGTTGGGACTTGTGCTGTGTCACCCTCAAGTATGAAGTGTAAACTCTTTCTTGGGCCACCAAAGTAACTAAACAAGAAATGCAACATTCTCCCATGAATACATTAGAGTTAATACTGTGGCCACATTTGGAAAATTAGCATAGCTCGTAAAAGCCAAATGCAGAAAATTAATTGTTTAGCATTCTATCGCCACAGCTCTGTCCTCCTCTGCCCACCCACCCTTGAGGAAGACAAGCCCAAAGTTAGTTGATGCTGTGGAATCACAAGGATGTCGCAGTCTGTGATTTGCTGTAATTGAATCCATTTTAAATGTGGAGTCTGGATGCTGTTGGCATACCTTTATTTTGCTTGTTTTTCCCCTGTGACAAACTAATCATTTACACATTTGCCCGAAGCCATAGAATGGGTAGAGGGGATGACTAAGATGTCATCACGTGCTCTCAATTCGGAGGCAGCATGATTTCCCCTGACATTTACATTTATGGGCTACCTAATTTTTCCCTTCGTCTTAGTAAAGTTTATATTACAGAAGCACCCAGCCAAGAGCCTTATCCCACATCCAGATCTGTAAAATGATGTTCAGATTTTATAATCTGTGGACTGGATACCATGACAGCTGTGTGACTGTTTATTGCGTGGGACTGCCCCCAAATTCAAAGATGCTATTAATTTACCACAGACCTTATCTGCTCGATTATCCTTCATAAATATGCTGATGCAGTCCACTTTTTCTGGTTCAGAGAGGAGACCAAGGGAAACAGTTAACCCAGTTGCTAAAGCCTTTTTCATTTTCCTTCCCATATGTGATTGTCTCCACATCCGAGGGAGCCTGGGATAATCATGAACCTGGTCTCCCATTTTTAAAGATGAGAAATTATGCTCAGAAGAGATAGCGTTTCATTGCTCACTGAACACTTGATTCCCTTGTCTTACGTTCATATGTTCTATTTCTATTATCTGTAATGCTGTTTGTTTTCCATATAGAAGGTTCAGTTATACCATTAGATTTCCAAACTTTCTGTTAAAAGGCTCATTTTTAAAAAATGAAGCAACTTGCCCATTTATATGTGGTCCCCCTCCCCCCAAGAAACATACAAAATTTTGACAAAGGTACTTTTTTCAAAGATGAAACAGTATGTCTTTCCATACATAGATATGTATACGTGTGTGTATATATATGTATATGTATATATAGTTTTTTTTTAAAGCTAAGTGCTTTCCGTTGAGAGGGGAGGCCGGAAAGGAAAAAACCTAGAGAGATGATGGGGGAGATGGGATTATTATTATTATTTTAATGTAACTTTCTTTTGCTAATCCGCTCACCTCTCTGTTCTCTAGGACACATGAGCCCTACCACCTGCACCCTGAGGAAACACAAGACCAATCGGAAGCCGCGCACACCCTTTACCACGTCCCAGCTCCTCGCCCTGGAGCGCAAGTTCCGCCAGAAACAGTACCTCTCCATTGCAGAGCGTGCAGAGTTCTCCAGCTCTCTGAACCTCACAGAGACCCAGGTCAAAATCTGGTTCCGACCCGAAGGGCTAAGGCGAAAAGACTGCAGGAGGCCGAACTGGAAAAGCTGAAAATGGCTGCAAAACCTATGCTGCCCTCCAGCTTCAGTCTCCCTTTCCCCATCAGCTCGCCCCTGCAGCCGCTCATATATGGAGGCATCCTACCCGTTTCCCGACCTGTGCTTCCGATCCCGCCCTGTGTACGCTATGCCACGCCAGTGGGATATGGCATGTACAGTGCCGCCTAGTCTATAGTGAATGCCAGTGATCATAGCATCCATGATGGATGCGTCTGGTTTGAAGGGCTTTTTTCCTCTCCCTTCTCTCCGAGACAGCTAGATCCAGCATACTCCTCTCCGCCATGTCAGACCCTGGCGTGTCGCAGCCACTATAGCGGCGTTAGGCCGACAGGCCACCATGGTACATATGCTGAAAATTTGTTCTTTAGTGGAAGGCATCGCAAGCCTTGTTCTTTCTTGGTGTAATCTTCCAGATGCCCCCTTCTTCTCTTCACATGATAATGGCTCTGATGTTTTTTGTATCATAAAACTTATATAATAATAAAATATAATACATTTTTATACGGCAGACGTAAAAATTCAAATTATTTTAAAAGGCAAAATTTATAAACATATGTGCTTTTTTTCTATATGTCACCTTCCCAAAAGACACTGTGTAAGTCCATTTGTTGTATTTTCTTAAAGAGGGAGACAAATTATTTGCAAAATGTGCTAACGTCAATGATTTTTATGGGATTATTGACTTCTGCTTATGGAAAACAAATATTAGAAATAGACACAATGCACATAGAAAATATTAGATATGGAGAGATTATTCAAAGTGAAGGGGACACATCATATTTCTGCATTTTACTTGCATTAAAAGAAACCTCTTTATATACTCCATTTGTTCCTACCTCTCCCCTGCCCCCGCCGGCCCACCACACACACATTTTAAAAATTTTTCCTTTTTTAAGAATATTTTTGTAAGACCAATACCTGGGATGAGAAGAATCCTGAGACTGCCTGGAGGTGAGGTAGAAAATTAGAAACACTTCCTAATTCTTCTCAAGGCTGTCGGTAGCTTTCTTTCAGATAATTGGAGAGTAAAATGTTAAAAGCCTGTTGAGAGGAATTGATGGTTTCTGAGAAATACTAGGTACATTCATCCTCACAGATTGCCAAGGTGATTTGGGTGGGGGTATAGTAATTTTCTGCTTAAAAAAATGAATATCTTGTAACCATTACCTATATGCTAAATATTCTTGAACAATTAGTAGATCCAGAAAGAAAAAAAATTATGCTTTCTCTGTGTGTGTACCTGTTGTATGTCCTAAACTTACTAGAAAATTTTTTATACTTTTTTACATGTTGGGGGGCAGAAGGTAAAGCCATGTTTTGACTTGGTGAAAATGGGGTTGTCAAACAGCCCATTAAGCTCCCTGGTATTTCACCTTCCTGTCCATCTCTCCCCTCCCTCCAGTATACCTTTATCCCTTTGAAAGGGTGCCTTGTACAATTTTATATATTTTATTGAAGAGTTATCTCTTATTCTGAATTAAATTAAACATTTGTTTTATTGCAGTAAAGTTTGTCCAAACTCACAATTATTTTAAGAGGTGCTCTCGGTTCTCAGCTGGGCTTAGCTCGAACGCGCTACCCAGATGAGGGGGGAGCTGGTATTTTTTAATATTTTAATGTAAATCAACCAAGAGTTGTGGTCAGACTCAGCCACGTTGGGGTGATTGGCGGTGGCGGGGAGTGAACTGAAACTGCTGAAATACTTTGAAATGTTTCCTCTGGCAGCTTGTTACTCATGGAAAAGAGGTGGAATTGCTGCGAGGAGTTTTTCAGAAACAGTACAGTGAAAGATGAACTTTAAATAAGTAGTGGGGCAGAGAGATCAGCCAGTACCTAAGTCATTTGTATATGATCAAGGGAAAATCTTGAACTTGAATTCTCCCAGCTACCAACACATCAAACTTAAAACTGAGGAAAAGGGTCCTTACAGCTATTTGCAAATGGACATGGTAACGAGGTGCATTCGCCGGGCTGGGGGATGGAAGCCCGCTCGCTCCCCTTTCAGGAGTGTGTCAAATCGCATTCCGTTTACCATTCCTAGCTCCTTCCAAGGAGATGGACTCCGAGCAAACACTCTTCGGTTTGAAGTGGGAAGGTGGTTCATTCAAGTCCCTTTGCTACCCAGCCTTCCCTCTCCCAGTGGAAACGATACAGAACTGCAGTCAGGCTTGGGTTTTGGGCGTCACGATAAAACGGTGATGGGTGGAGGACGCTGAGAAGGATCTTAAACTCAGCTTTCTGTCGCACAAATAAATCTGAAGTGGTTCCTGGTGATTGGTACCTGTCCGAGGTCAGTGTTCGGATGGGAGGCTCCGGTGACTCGGAACAGAGGCAGAAAGGATACAAGGACTTCTTGCTGCTTCAACAGCGCGGCGGGCAGATTGGCACCTGGCACCTACCAGGACTGGCGCTTCGTCTGGCGTTTCCATTGTGCCCGCACGCACTTTGAAAGAGGGCCCCGGAAACTCCGTTTCTCCTATGGGGCGGGGTCGGGCAACGTGGGTCAGAAGTTTCACAAGCTCCAGCGCAGAAGTGATCCAAATCGAGGGGTCGGCTCGAAGTCCGGGGCTGATTTTGTCTTGCTCAGTCGCTCCGCCCGAGCTGAGCCGCTGGAACGACCCAAACCTACCTGGAAGCGCGTCTCTGCAGTCCCGCTGGACTTCTCCGGCTCGAACTCCCAATCTCAGCCCGGAATCCAGCCATATTCATTTAAGGATTGCGTTTTCCAAAGGCCAAAGCCTTTCCCGGTTTCGTCATCAGCCGCCAAGTTGGGTCCCTAATTAGCCTGTCCACCGGGCTTCCTTCCCGGCGCCGCTTGGACCCCGCAGCCCCGGGCGATCTCAGCCCGGGTGGGGAATCCGGAGACGCCGGCTCCGGGTTAAGACTCTGCTTGTCCCCAGGAGGACGGGGTCGCGAATCAGAGTGCGATCCGGAGAATAGGGGCTGCATCTTGCGTGGCTGGCGGGTTAGACTGGAATCCGTCTGGGGAACTGCGCACCATCCCCATCGCCCCAGACGCCGAAACAAAACCTGAGGCTCGGAGAGGAGAAAAAGAGTTGTTCAGGCTCGAACACCCGCATCCCAGCGCTCATAGGTGGATGGGGTTACCGAACTGAGAACCAAGCCGGAGGCCCGCGAAGCCGGGCCGCCGCCTTGCTCTGGGGCTCCCTTCAAGCCTGCAGTTAGGGGGTTGGGTTCCGAGTCACCGCGGTCCGGGCCTCGGTCAGGCTTGGTCGGGCACACAGGGCGTTTCAGAGGCCAGATTGACAACCTGTGGCGGCAGAAGGACTCTCCCTCACCAGGGACCCGCGAAGGCGCGCATTGGAAATTAAAGCCGAAGATGCTAGTGTGCGGGCCTGGGACATCCTTGCATCCGATGCCAGAAGCCTGGCACGCAAATTTACCCACCCTTCCATACTTTCAGTGCTTTGTTCCAAACTCTTCAAGAGACACAGCTCTGCTTTTTGGAAAGAGAGGAAGAGAGCCCCTGCAGAGTGCAGAACTAGGCTTCCCCCCCACCCCCCACAGTGTTCTCATTTAGTTGCCACACATCCCTTGGAGAGGTATTATGGATGTCATGTATAGTTGAGGAAACTGAGGCACGAAGAGGTGGCTCACTGAGGTCACAGAGCTGATAAGTAGCGGCAGGGAAATCCAGGCCTCAGTGTGAGTGGAGGAGGTGGGCATGAAAGACAGAGGGCAAATCAGGCAGGAGGTGTCTCAGAAATGAAGCCAGGGCCTGGGGAACACTCTGGATCCCCAGACTCTGAGATCCCAAGTCTGCAGTCTCTCTCCAGCTCCCCTTCCCATCCCTCATTGCTCCTCCAACACAGTGGACCTGGGGCTCAGATCCAGCCCTCCCCTCTCCCACTCCCAGCCCTGCCTTGGCGATCTTGGGGGGAATGGAGGGAGCGGGGCGGCAGAAGGTAGGCAGTGAAGGCCTGGCTGAGAGCGGTGGCTGGCGAAGCGTCTGCCTGACCCGACTGAAAAGAGGATCCCTGCCTTTGAGCAGAACCTTGTCTGACCGAATGAAAACTCCCACGGCCATTCTTTGCTATAAAAGCCGCTCATTTGCCACGGGTTGGAGAGGCCATTTCCCCACCCCCACTCCGTCTCCACTGCTGGGTTTGAAATAAGCATAAACCTCATTTATAAAAGAACCCACGTCACACACACACCCTCCCCGAAATCACAAGGCCTGGTTGGTGAAGTTGACTGTGTCTGTTCCTCTCCTTCCATTTTTGTAAGCAAAAATGTTTTTCCCCCCATTGGTGATGCTGCAGGCTTCTTTAACAAAATAAAGTGGTCACAGCAAGGAGGAAAAGCCCTGGGTCAACTCCTGGACCCCTTTACCCCCTCTCCCACCCCCAGCCACCCTCTCACCTCCTCCCTCCTACAAACTAAATAAAAAGCAGTAAAATTACTTTCCAGAATAGCCCGCTTCAAAGCGAACAGAGGACCGGGCTGCAGGAATCCCGAGTCTCGCCCTGATAAGGTTTGTAATAATCAAATCCAAACTCCATCCACCTCCCTTGACTCTTTCCAACCTCCTCCGGACCTCTCTGCATTTGTTGATGAAAACACTTTGATGTCCTGAGTCCTCCAAACAATTATTATTATAATTTTAAACAACCTGGTATTTTCCATTACTAACGGCTGAGGCTTTGAAGTTACACCTCATAATTTCCTAAATTAAATAAATCATTTTAAGTTTGCACTGGGAGGCTTTTAATAGCAGAGAAAGGAATATCATTATCTTATTGAGACCCAATTGTGGTGGCTCCAGTTTGGCTGTAGCTAGGGGCAAAGTAGGCTCACTCTAACAGACATACTTTATTAACCTCCCATAACTCTTGAAAGAACATTTTTATATTTTCTTTGATTTCCCCCCTCCCTATCTTGTTTTAATGCTGTCCCAACCTTTAATTAGTGCCTAATATGAAAAGCATTATTTTTTTAATGCTATGTAATTTACCAGCGGCAACAGGCCAACTTAACAATTGTTTATTAGACTTGGTTTTTCACACAGGGCAAAGAATGCCGCTCCAAACCCAACTTTTCATGGGTGGTTGCACTAATTAATACAGTGTCTGAGACTCCTAGGGGGTTTTTTAATATTGAAGCCTATGGGGGCGGAAGGGGGTTTTAGAAGTCCAGCTCCTGCCGAC